GAGGGCTGGGAAGATGGCTCAGTGGTAGAGTGCTTGCCTTGCATCCTGAGGCCCTGGGTTCGATTCCTCAGCACCACATAAGCAAAAAGAAAAAAGCCGGTTCTGTGGCTCAAGTGGTAGAGCGCTAGCCTTGAGCTGAAGAGCTGAGGGACAGTGCCCAGGCACAGAGTTCAGGCCCCATAACCGGACCCAAAAAAAAAAAAGTCTCAGGGACTTTACTGCCCGGGCTGGCTTTACACTGTGATCCTCAGATCTCAGCTTCCTGAGTAACCCCGCTCATTTAATGTTTCTGTGTCCTTTGGATTCTCTGTTTTTGTTTGTTGGTTGTGGGGAATGAACTCTGGACTTGGGTGCTGTCCCTCAGCCCTTCAGCTCAAGGAGAGTGCTCTACCCCTTGAACCACAGCTCTACTTCTGATTTTCTGGCCGTTTATTGGAGATAAGAGTCATGGAGGGGGCTAGAAAGGTGGCTCAGTGGTAGAGTGCTTGCCTTTATGCATGAGACCTGGCTTCAATTCCTCAGCACCACATAAACAAAAATCCAGAAGTGGTGCTGTGGCTCAGTAGTTAATTGGAGATAGAGTCTTGAGGACTTTCCTTCCCTGGCAGTTCCCAGCCTCCTTAGTAGCTAGGATTCCAGGCATAAGCCACTGACCCCTTATAAGGATTCACATTTTAATAAAAACTTCCATAAAATTCTCTTTTCAGCCAAATTTGTGTGGTGCTCTGCTCTGAGTGTTAGAAAGGTGTATTAGGCAAGGACCATGAGTCACAGGCCTGATCATTCTTTTCAAAAGGGAAGGCACCGTCAGTGAACTTGAGGTACAGTTCTTGGAGTTTGGGAAGGCGAAGGCCACTTTAGTTAATATCATGAAAGGTTTGCAGGGAGTGTGGCCTCTGAACAACCTGAAAGCCCCAGTGGGATCAGGACAGCCCCAAGGTGGGCAGATGTCCCAGGTGTGGGAGGCATAGAACAAGCCAGTGGCAGGAAAAGAACTACAGAAGGCAAGTGTGAATCCCCAGGGAGGGGGCAGTGCCCAGGCCACACAAATTTACACTGATCTGGAGGGGTCATCAAGGAGTAGGCTAGGCAGAAGAGCCCAGGCAGGAGTGGGATTTGCATTGTAGGGGAGCTGTGGGCTGTTCTGATCCACAGCTACTGTTTATACCTATCTGGTTGTTGGTGGCTCACGCCTGTACTCCTCGCTAATCAGGAAGCTGAGATCTTAGGATTTTGGTTCAAAGACAGCCTGGGCAGGAAAGTCCGTAACACTTATCTCCCAATTAACCACCAGAAAATTGGAAGTTGCGCTGTGACTCAAGTGGTAGATGGCTTACCTTGAGCTGAAGAACAGAAGGACAGTGCCCAGGTCCAGAGTTCAAGCCCCATGACCAACAAAAATAAATAAAAAAAATTGGTTCAGCTGAATGTTCACAGAAGCTATCCTCTGTCCTAGGATGGGAAACATGGGCAAGAAGTTGCCTCAGGGAACTAGCTTCTTGGTAAGGCTCGTTAGGCCTTCTGGGTAAGACTAAATGCACCAGTCCAGCCCAGTGGTCTCTGACATGTGAAGATGAATGGGGGGGGGGACAGGACTAGAGGCAGAATTGCTGGGGTATGAAGGAATTGAGCCAGATCTCTGTTGAGAATCCTCGCCAATATTACTTACCATTTGTATCACCTCCCTAGGTGGCCTGATGCCTTGGGTTCAGTTTAAATTGTTTGGAAGTCTACCCTAGCCAGTCTGGTAGGAACCATCTGTTTAAGTCATCTAGCCTGGTGGAGGAGGGCATGTGCTTACTTATGCCACTTCACTCCCCCCATCCCTCCTAAAGAGGTGTCAGTCATCCAGCCTGGTGGAGGAGAGCCTGTGCTCACCTGTACCATTCCACCCTTGCCCTCTGCCCTTCCTAAAGAGGCATCTGTGACTACATTGAAGTCTCTGGGTTGGTTCCTCCAGGGAGGCGGCAATACAGGATGACCATCGGTGGGAGGGGACTGGGGGGAAGGGTCAGAAGCTGCTGTGATTGGCCTTGACTCTCCCTAGTTGTTCAGTTCTGCCCTCATTTAACCTCCAGGAGTTCCACAGGACTAGGACAAATGGTATGTGACATGATTCACTGGGGCTGGGAGAGGGGAGGGCCCTGTTCCTACCTCCCCTTGGCCACAAGTTGGCAAATGGCTTGAGTTCAAGGTCCTTCTGATTAGGACAAGGCCCTGTGGTAGATCAGATTCTGAGGAGCAGTTACCTTATGACCTGATGTTTCTCTCTTTTTTGTCAGTCATGGAGCATGAACTCAGGGCCTGGGCACTGTCCCTGAGTTCTTTCACTCAAGACTAGAGCTCTACCACTTTGAGCCGCGGCTCCACTTCCAGTTTTCTGGAAGTTAATTGGAGATGAGAATCTCATGGACTTTTCTATCTTCAGATCTCAGCCTCCTGAATAGCTAAGATTATAGTCACCAGTGTCTAGTACATGTTTCTCTTGATGGCAGACCTTTGGGTTTCTTGCCACCCCCTTTGCTAATTTATGTGCTTGGTAGGAGAGGGGAGCTTTTGGTACCCTTTTTTTTCTGGCAGAGATGAGGTATATTCCAGTGTGGTGTTGGGGCTGAGGGGTTGGGAGTAATGCTATGGATGCTCACAGGTGAATGCAAACCCTCGGGTACTTGGCAGCACCCTAGATCTTGGAGCTCATGGGTGATCCTGTGCTGAGCCCTTTCCTTCTTTCCTTCCTCCAGCTGTGGGTCAGAGATGCTTGGAAGATGGTTTATTGACCACTGATCACCTCGTGAGTGCCCTGTGGGGCCTCTCTCTAGGTGTACACATTTTTGAGTGTGTGCCATGTGTGGGTGGCCACCCCCTTGCTGAAGGACAAGGTATAACCCCAGAGACACTTGGGCTGGGAGTGGGGCAGATTAATTCTAGGGAAAGAACAGCATACTCCAAGGTTGCTTTTAGACAGGCAGAGAGATTACCTCAGGGTCACTCTAGTGTTTCTGATTTTGTAGGTCTGGGGTAGGGTCCAAAAATTGCTTTATTTTTTTTCCAGTTTTTTTTTCCCCCCCAGTCCTGGGGCTTGAACTCAGAGCCTGGGCACTGCCTCTGAGCTTCATCTGTTCAAGGCTAGTACTCTACCACTTGAGCCACAGTGTCACATCTTTTTTTCTGTTTATGTGGTACTGAGGAATGGAATCCATGGCTTCATGCCTGCTAGGCAAGCACTCTACCATAGGCCACATTCCCAGCCCTCTAGTTTTTTGTTTGTTTTTGAGACAGGGTCTTACTATGTAGCTCAGGGTAATCTGGAACTCAAAATCCTTTTGCCTCCTGTGTACTGAAATTAAAAACCTGGCAGCACCATGCCTGGTTGAGATTTAGCATTTTTAATCATTTTATGGGTGCTGATGCTACAAGCGAGGGGAGCTCAGTGGGAGCTTCTGGCTTCTAGCAGAGAGAGGGTCTCCCACTCCTGCTAGCTGACCCCCCACAGCCCAGACAGTCGAAATGAGCACTTTACATGTCCCTTTGACAAGACAAGGATTGTGTCAGACTTAGAAGCAGTTACTTACTTTTCTGAGGCTACCTAGTCAGATAGTGACAGGCAACTAGATTAGTCCTTGGGGGACCGGGGGTGGGGAGTAAGGGGAGCAGCTTGAACTCAGGTCCTGGGTTCTGTCTCTTAGGTTTTTTACTCCAGACTAGTGCTCTACTACTTCAGCCATGACTCTAGTTCCAGCTTTTTTTTTTGCTGGTTCTGGCCTCTGGGCCTGGGCGCTGTCCCTTAGCTCCTTTTGCTCAAGGCCAGCTCTCTACCACTTGGGCCACAGCTCTGCCTCTGGCTTTTTCTGTCATTAATTGAAGGTAAGTGTTTTATGGACTTTGCTGCCCACGTTCACTTTGAACTGTGGTCCTCAGATCTCAGCCTCCTGAGTAGCTAGGATTTGTAGATATGAGCTACCAGTACGTGGCTACTTCCAGCTTTTTGCTAGTTAATTGGAGATTTGTCTGCCTGGGCTCGGTTCTAACCAGGCTTAATTCTCAGATCTCAGCCTTCTTACTAGTTGGGTTTATAGCTATGAACCACCAAAGCAATTGTAATTGGTAGTTTGCTCTCTGGAGAAGGGGAAAATAGCCTTTCTGGATCAAGAGTTGTCCAGCTGGGGTTGTACTCTGAAGACAGGATAACATTCAGGTAAGAGACAGGGAAGAAGGTAGGCAGAGGCTTGAGAGCCTAGAAAAGGTTTTTTGTTGTTGTTGGTGGTGGTTGTGGGGCTTGAACTCTGGGCCTGAGCATTGTCCCTCAGCTCTACCACTTGAGCCACAGCACCACTTCCGGTTTTCTGGGGGTTTATTGGAGATAAGAGTTTCATGGATTTTCCTGCCTGGGCTGGCTTTGAACCAGGAGCCTCAGATCTCAGCCTCCTGAGTAGCTAGGATTACAGGTGTGAGCCACTGGCATCCAGCTGAAAAGGGCTTTTTTTTTTCGACAGTCCTGGGGCTTGAACTCTGGCTCTGGGCATTGTTCCTGAGCTTCTTTTTTTTTTTGGGTCCGGTTGTGGGGCCTGAACTCTGAGCCTGGGCGTTGTCCCTCAGCTCTTCATCTCAAGGCTAGCACTCTACCACTTGAGCCACAGCACCACTTCCAGCTTTTTTTTTCTGCTTAAGTGGTGCTAAGGAATCGAACCCAGGGCCTCATTCATGCAAGGCAAGCGCTCTACCACTGAGCTACCTTCCCAGCCCCCCTGAGCTTCTTACTCAAGGCCTTCTGCTACTTGAGCCACAGTGCCACTTGTGGCTTTTTCTGTTTATGTGGTTCTGAGGAATTGAACCCAGGGCTTCATGAAAGCTAGGCAAACACTCTACCACTAAGCCACATTCCCAGCCCTAGAAAAACTTTTTAGGAGTGCTTTACTTCTTTATTGTAGCTAATACCAGTTGAGCTAGCAGCATTGCTGTATTCAGTGTAGTGTTCTCATTTTGCAGATTAGGAAACTGATATTGCATAGTGTTTTCTCAGGTTTCAGGCCTTGGGAATGTCCTCATCATCTTTTCTGCCTTCCCTAGCTCATTACACAGACCTTTAACCACCACAACCAGTTGGCACAGAAGGCCCGGCGAGAGAAGCGAGCTCGGCAGGAGTCTGAGCGGCGGGAGAAGGCAGAGCGTGCAGCCAGGCTGGCCAAGGAAGCCAAGGCAGAGACCCCTGGGCCACAGATCAAGGAGCTGACTGATGAGGAGGCTGAGAGGCTGCAGCTAGAGATTGACCAGGTAAGATTTGGTGTCCTTCCTCCACGCCCCCTCCCCCCACTCCTGTTACCCTGGAAAATGGGGCCCTGTTGCCAACTGTGTGCTCTTTGCTATATAGAAAAAGGATGCGGAGAATCATGAGGCCCAGCTCAAGAATGGCAGCATTGGCTCACCAGGAAAGCAGGTGAGATGGATTGGAGAAAAGAATTCCGGCCAAGCAGAAGCTTGGGAACCATCCTTCCTTTTTCTCCTTAAAGCCTTTGTTTGCCTTTCCCTGCCCTCAGCTTTGAATTCTCCCCATACTTCAGGAACCTATTTAGGGGCATGGAACAAATGAATTTGGATTAAAAATAATAACAGGAAGTGGTGCTGTGGCTCAAGTGCTAGTGCTAGCCTTGAGCTGAAGAGCTGAGGGACAGCGCCCAGGCCCTAAAGTTCAAGCCCCACAACTGACCAAAAAATAAAAAAAAATAAAGCCACTGGCTTTAAATCTTGGCAGGAAAGCCCAAGAGCCAGAGAAGGTTCTGGCTGTGCAATTACCATCTAAACTGGCTGAGGTCTGTGGGGGCCAACTCAAATGTGATAATCTGAATTCTTTGCAGGCAAAAATTAGAATTCAGCTGGGCACTGGTGGCTCACGCTTGTAATCCTAGCTTCTCAGGAGGCTGAGATCTGAGGATCACGGTTCAAAGCCAGCCTGGAGAGGAAAGTCTGTGAGACTTTTACCTCCAATTAACCACCAGAAAATGAGAAGTGGCGCTGTGGCTCAAAGTGGTAGAGTGCTCACCTTGAACTGAAGAGCTCAGGGTCAGTGCCCAGGCCAAGTTGAAGCTCCATGACTGATAGAATCGCGCGTGCGCGTGCCAATCTTGGGGCTTGAACTCAGGGCCTGGGCTCTGTCCCTGAGCCTTTTTGTGCTCAAGGCTAGCACCTATCACTTGAGCCACAGTGCCACTTCTGCCTTTTTCTGTGTATATGTTACTGTGGAATCGAACCCAGGGCTTCATGAATGCTAGGCAAGCACTCTACCACTAAGCCACATTCCCAGCCCCAGAATCCAGTTTTACTTCTGGACCAGGTCATTGCCTGCCACAGTGTGGGCAAGGGCCAGTTCTGTTTTGTGGTTGTGTACCCAGTGCCATCCCTGGGCTTGGCGCAGTGGGATCCAATCTGTTTTTGTCAAGTAAGTGGCCCCTGACTGTGAACAGGATGCTGAGGAAGAAGAGGAGGAGGAAGATGAGAAGGACAAAGGAAAACTGAAGCCCAATCTAGGCAATGGAGCTGATCTGCCCAATTACCGCTGGACCCAGACCCTGTCTGAGCTGGATGTGAGTTGATGGCTGGTGCCAGGGGTGGAGGTTTGGGAACCAACCTAGAGACTTGGCAGTCTCTAGAGGGCTTTCTGTGTCCATGCAGCTGGCAGTGCCCTTCCCTGTCAACTTCCGGCTGAAGGGAAAGGATGTGGTAGTGGATATCCAGCGGCGTCATCTCCGGGTGGGGCTCAAGGGGCAGCCAGCAGTCATTGATGGGGAGCTGTACAATGAGGTGAAGGTGGAGGAAAGCTCATGGCTCATTGAGGATGGCAAGGTGGTGACGGTGCATCTGGAGAAGGTATGTGAGATCTGCAGACTCAGGGCATGCTGGGGCCTTGTGGAAATAACTTACTCCCACAAGATTCTTTTTTTTTTTGATCAGTTATGGGGCCTGAACTCTGGGCCTGGGCACTGTCCCTCAGCTCTTCAGCTCAAGGCTAGCACTCTACCACTTAAGCCACAGCACCACTTCCAGTTTTTTCTGCTTATGTGGTGCTGAGGAATCAAACCCAGGACCTCATGCATACAAGGCAAGCACTCTACTACTGAGCCACCTTCCCAGTCCTTTAAAAAAAATCTGTCCTTGGTTTGGGTCAAGAAAAAGATTCGGGGCTGGGAAGGTGGCTTTTGGGGTACTGCTTGTGTTTTCTGGCTTAGCATGTTACTCTAGCATCTTGCCTTTCATGTTGAATGACCACCCATGATCAGCTGTGTACTTTTTTCTTTTCTCATCACACTGTTAAGTTTTTTTTTTTTTTTAATTTTATTTTGCCAGTCCTGGGGCTTGAACTCAGGGCCTGGGCACTGTCCCTGAGCTTCTTTTGTTCAAGGCTAGCACCCTACCACTAAGCCACAGTGCCACTTCTGGCACTTTCTGTTTATGTGGTATCAAGAAATCGAACCTAGGGCTTGATCCATTCTAAACAAGTTCTCTACCACTAAGCCACATCCCAGCTCTTGTTTTTGTGCCAGTTTGGGACTTTAATTCCATGCCCAGGTATACTGTCCCTGAGCTTTTTTGCTCAAGGGTAGTGTGTTAACAGTTGAGACACAGCTTCACTTCTGGCTCTTTTTGGTGCTTAATTGGAGATGAGTCACATAGACTTTCCTACCCATGCTGGCTTTGAACCATGATTGTGATCTCAGCCTGAGTAGCTTGGATTACAGGCATAAGCCACCAGTACCAGCTGTGTGAGTGTGTGCATGCATGTGTATGCACCATTGTTAGGGCTTGTGCTCAGGGTTTCATGTAATCACTTAATTAGCTTTTTTTGTTGAAGGTTGGATGCTCTACGACTTGAGCCACACTTCTATTTCAAGTTTTTTGCTGGTTATTGGAAGTACAGTCTCATGTACTTTTCTTTCCAGATTAGTTTTGAAACATGATCCTCCGATCTCAAGCCCCTGGAGTAGCTAGGATTATAGGCATGAGCTACCAGCACCCAGCTTATCACACCCAACTTGTAACCGTGAGCTTCCTTGTCGTAGCCAGCTCTGAAAAGGCGAGGATTATAGGCATGAGCTACTAACACTCAGCTTATCACCCCAATTTGTAACTGAGCTTCCTTGTTGTCTCTCCCAGCTCTGGAAAGGCTGAGGTCTGGCTGCTTATCACCCCAATTTGTAACTGAGCTTCCTTGTTGTCTCTCCCAGCTCTGGAAAGGCTGAGGTCTGGCTTCTTTTTACTCCTGATCTCAGTATAGACCTGTGTGGGTCTTAGGTGCAAAATGTGGAAGGCTCTGGAAGGGTTGAGTGGTGATTCCTGATCACAGAGTGAACCCCTTCCAACTTCTTGGGTGTCTTCCTTTTCATAGATTAATAAGATGGAGTGGTGGAGTCGCTTGGTGTCCAGTGACCCTGAGATCAATACAAAAAAGATCAACCCTGAGAACTCTAAGGTGAGCCCTGACCAGGTGGGGAAGCTGGAGCAAGCAGGGGCAAGGAGGGCCCGAAGTGGTCATCAACTTTCATCCATCCTGGTCTTTGTCTCCAGCTATCAGACCTGGACAGTGAGACACGCAGCATGGTAGAAAAAATGATGTACGATCAGAGACAGAAGTCCATGGGGCTGCCCACCTCAGATGAGCAGAAGAAACAGGAAATTCTGAAGAAGTAAGCAACTTAAGGACTGAGAAGTGGGGAGGATGGGTGCTGGGGGCTTACACCTGGATAACAGCAGGGAGTAGGGTGAATAGTTGCTGAGCAGGCCTTGAGAGCTGCCCTGCCGCCTTTGAGCATGAGCCAGCTAAGTTTATGGCCTTGGTTTGCTTACCCTAATCACTCATTAGGTCATCCTGAGGGGGCAAGGACAGCTTTTGCAAGGGGGTAACTGGCGATCACCACCCCCTACAGGCAAACAGTGCCAGTGTTGGCACCTCTGTTTCCAGCCTCCAACTCAAATGGCCTCTCAGATACCTGGGACTCTGCCTGGCCTGGTTCTAGATTATTCGGGGCTCTAAAGAGAACAGACATCTGTGTGGGGACAGTGGATTAGCTTGAGGGGGGACAGCCTGTTTCATCCTCTTCTTTCATTCTCTTCCAGGTTCATGGATCAGCATCCAGAGATGGATTTCTCCAAGGCCAAATTCAACTAGCTCCCAAACTCTTGGGGCTGAGTCCCCAGCGATCCAACTTCCTTTCCTATCCTTCTTGGGACTTGGGAGCCTCAGGACTGGGCCAGGCACAGGACTGGGCCAGGCATGTGGGTCCCAAGGTATCATGAGAGAAGGGCTGAGGCCTCCAGGGTCTTGTCCTCCCCAGTTGCTCTTCTGTTACACATTAAAGCTATTTACCCAGCTCTGTGTCCTCTCTCTTCCCTCTGGCTGCTGCTGGAGCTAGGGTTTTGGCTTCTAGCCCAGATAGTGCCATGTGACTTAGGGCGGGCCCTTGTAGGGCCTCAATTTCTCAGTACTTAAGAGGAAGTAGTAGGGCAAGGCTTTTAGTCTGTAGTTCTGAGCAAAGGTGTGCTTTTGCCTGTGGAGACTAGAATGTGTCTGGTTCTCAAAGGGGCCTATGACTCAGAAAAGACCAATCAGATGCCCTTCTACCTACCCCATCCCTGAAATAAATTTTTTTTTTGGTCCGGTCGTGGGGCCTGAACTCTGGGCCTGTCCCTCAGCTCTTCAGCTCAAGGCTAGCACTCTACAACTTGAGCCACAGCGCCACTTCCGGCTTTTTTCTTTTTGCTTATGTGGTGCTAAGGAATCGAACCCAGGGCCTCGAGCACGCAAGGCAAGCGCTCTACCACTGAGCCACCTTCCCAGCCCCTGAAATAAATGTTTTTAAACTATAAACTTTTCAGAGGCAGAAGAGCTGCAAGGCCTGGGTGACACTCCAAGTTTGCAGAGCCTCAAATCCATTCTCATACAGAGACCTGGCTGGGAGGATAAAGTCCATGGGGGCCACTGTTTGTCTCTGATGTGGACTTCTGCCTATTTTGGGACTCCCCAGCCAGCTCCTAGGAAATGCCTACACACTAACCCAGTGCAAACTGACACTGCTTTGCCTCAGCTAGAAGTGGAGATCACAGAGTACTGAGCCCACTGAGTTTGGGACAAATAGTGGTTCACAAGGTTGTTAGGAAACTGATGCTCTAGGGTCAAGGCTGGAATGGAGGGAGTTGGTTACTTTCCCACTCAGGGCTCCAGTGGCATGTATGTATGTAACATGCTGGGGATGAAATAAGGCTTCTTGCATAGGAAGTAAGTGTTCTACCACTGGACTACATAACCCAGCCAAGTCACTTCATTTTGTAGAGGCCTTGACCTGAATGAGAGACCCTAAGGAAAGGCGCCAGTTAGATTCTGGGGCCCATTCTGTGTGTCTGCTAAAAGAACTGGATAAGTGATTTGTGTAGTCATTTCCCAAAGGGCAGGACAGGCTATAAATGAAGAGAGAGTGGCAGAAATCTCCCAGTTTGTTCAGCCTTATGAGGATTTGGATTGCTCATGGTGTGAGGAGCAGCCAAAAGCCCTCAGGCTGGGCTCTGGCATCCAAACAAGGAGAGTGATTCCCAAGGAGCTCACCTCAGTTCCCTCTCCCACTTTAGGGTTGCTGGAAAGGCCAGAATAACAGTGAAAAAATGGCAGTGCTCTTTTAGTATCAGGGAGAGAAGGGTGAAGGGGTGGCTGAGAAGTGACTAGGGATTTGAGGGGTATGGATAGCCAGAACAGGCCATTTTGTAGACAATGGACTAATGAGAGCAGGACATGTAGTCAGTCCCTAAAAATAACAGAAAAACACTTGTCAAGCCTGGCACAAGTGGATCACGCCTGTTAGCTACTAGCTCAGAAGGCTGAGATTTGAAGATTGAAATTCAAAACAAGGCTTATCCATGAGACTTACCTCAAACTATCAAACAAGCCATCAGTAGAACTGTGGCTAAAGTGATAAAGCACTAGCCTTGAGTCAAAGAAGCTTAGAAATAGGGCTGGGAAGTTGGCTCAGTGGTAGAGCGCTTGCCTTGCATGCCTGAGGCCCTGGGTTCAATTCCTCAGCACCACATAAGCAAAAAGAAAAAAGCCGG